TGTAATCTGTGGATGTGTTCTTCGTATGACCTTGAGAATATGATTAAGTCGTCGAGGAAAATAAAACAAATATTCAAATGTAGGTCTCCTAAACAGCTCTCCATCAGCCGTTGGTAAGTGGCAGGGCTGTTTGATAGTCCGAATGGTAGTCTATTGAATTCGTAAAAACCGAGAGGTCCTACGGTAAAGGCTGTACGCTCTTTATGTTCTTCTAATATCTCTACCTGATGGTACCCGGACTTCATATCCAAAACTGAAAAGTAACTATTTCCTGAAAGAGCATTAAGAATTTCTTCTATCCTCGGCAAGGCATATGCATCTTTCTTAGTCCTCTGGTTAAGTTGTCTGTAATCTATGCACATCCTTAATTTGTTGTCCTTTTTTCTAACTAAGACCACATTACTCGAGAATGGTGAACTTGATTTTCTTATGACGTTGGAATCTAAAAGCATCTGTAAATGGTTTCTGATCTCTTCAAACATAGCAGGTGGTATTCTCCGTGTTCTCTGCTTAAAAGGTTGTTCATCGAGTAAGTCGATTCTGTGCTTTACGGTGTCATTAAATCCTATGTCAGTCTCGCCTTTTGAAAATATATCCTCGTACACTCTGAGTAGTTCATGTACTTCTTGTATCTGACTTGATGATAAGTTGTCAGTAGATATTTTCACTTCCTGTAAATGAGTTATCTCCTCCTGTTGTAGATGTTGAGGCTGATCTATGATGGATACTGGGTGTATCTCACAAAGTATTGCCTTTGGATTAACAGTCACTGTTCTTGTTGTCAGGTTGCTAATATTGACTGGTATGATCTGATTTTCTTTAGAGTTGAAGTTGACGACAGATGGTTCAATGTCAAGATCTGTTGGAATTCTGGAGTATTTTGTTGATTGTAGTAACGCACAAGTTGAGTGGTATGGGATCTTCCTATCTGCATACCCATTAATCACTACTTGGCTATTTGGATGGATGGTGATTGTCTGTTGTTCGGCTGATTTCACAATGGCTAATCTAAAATTCTGCTTCATTAATGCTTTTTCTCTCAGCTGTAAACTTCTGAATGCTAAATACCAAGGTGTTTGCAATGGTGTTTCCTGCAAGAACTTCTCTCCATACTGCTGATGAGTGTTGTTGAGAAATAAGTTGATGATGTTGGTTCCTAATAATATTGGAGTTGATTTGCTGTAATTCGAATCTGGTACAATCAAGAAAAGGCATGGTAAAGGTTGACAGTTGGGAATTCCTATTGGCTGAATTTCTGCTTCAATGTACCCTAGGTAAGTAAGAGAATTTCCATCTGCACACTTGATGTTGATGAAATATTGTATTGGATGGATAGGATTTTCTTGCAGGTTGTCCTCATAAAATGATCTTGATATCGTAGATACTGTTGAGCCTGTGTCTAGTAAGGCTTTAGCTTTCATCTGTGAAATCCGAATGTCTGTCTCTGTTGATTCGCCAATCAATTTCGGCTGGTACATGGGGCTCTGTAATCTTCGACCTATCGTTGGCCCCTTACCGACGGTCGACGTCCGTTTAAATGTCCTCTGTAATGGTCGACTTTAACTCGACATCCAATTTGGAGGTGACCTTGTTGACCGCATCTCCAGCATACAACTTCCTCAGAGGCTGGTGGTTGTGAATTCTGAAAACTGGTATTTTGCTGCATCTGAGGAGCCTGATATCTGTATGGCGTGCTGAATCTATGAGGAGCTCTAAATCTAGGAGTGAAATTTCCTCGTGTCATCCCTCTCCCTTTGTACTGATCATTTCTCCTTTCTCTCCTCATCTCCTCTAATTCCGTTGACAGTCTATTTACAACACCTCTTAAATCATCTGTATCCTCCTGCTTTCTGTCCACACTAACTCTCTTTGATGGTATGGGTTTTGACTGTTTTTCTGATTCAGTTCTTTTCTCTTTGTCCAGCTCGATTACTCTCATTGCCATTCTCAGCTCATCAAAATCAAGGTATTTGTCATGTATATGGCCTGATATGTCCTTCAAACTAGGCTTCATTCCATTCCAGAACATGTTCCTTAACATTTCATTTTCATCACCTAGCTTCACTTGTCCTCGCATGACAGCTTTGCTGAGTAGATCCTCTAGTCTACATCCCCATGTTGAAATATCCTCACTTTCTCCTTGCTTTGCACTATAGAAGTTGGCAAGTAGTGTTTCTTTCTCTTCCACAATACCATAAATGCTGTCTAGTTTATTTAAAATTTCCTCCACAGTTGCATTTGGTCCTAGACGCATAAGCACTCTACTCGCTGGAGAACGCAATGATCTCCTGATCGCTAAACAAATAATGTTCTCTGAAAAATCATTTGCTTGCAAACACTTTACCTCGTATCTCCATTGGTCATATAAAATATCACCCTTTTTGTCACCTGTAAACCCTGATATTTTAGGAACACCACTCAAAGGAATGTGGGTCACGGAAGTGGGCAGGGTAAGGTCCTGGGCAAATAGACTAGGCTTGGGAGGGGTAAGGTCATGGGCAAATGGGTTAGGACTGGGAGGGACATGGTCACCGAGAAATGGGTTAGGACTAGGAGGGACAAGGGAATGGTCACCAGGACTAGAATGAACAGACGGCATGGGTAATTCCTTCTTTAAGGAATCAGCATATTTCAAAACCCAATTCTTAAATTCTTCAGGGGTACAACCTTCTGGTTTGATCTCTAATGCCTGAAATGTAGACAACAAATCAGACTTTTCTGTCTCTGAGAACTCTGCCATGATGGTTATAAATAATAAATACCAAATCATGCAAGTACTTGACTAATCAATGCAAAAATTGCAATAGTATCACAAGCAATGAAAAAAAAAATAAATGACAACTCAAAGAAACCGACGCGCATCTAATTGATGGATGTTACTAATAAACCGACGCGTTAATTGCCTGTAAATAAAGACTTGTTTGTTTTAAGTTGTTTTAAACAATCTACATGTTTAAATTGTTTTAAACTTTTTTAAACAATTTACATTTTGCAACAAACACACAAAATGTTACGCAATTTTTTTTTTTAAACCTTGTTTACACTTTTAAGCTGAAAAGATCAGAAGCTAAGATGTTAGTAGCTTAACACTAAACTAAGTGGACACCATGACAGACAAACTTTTGATCAGACTCTGTATTCTTGTTCTATATTTAAACTGTATGGGTTTCAATGTAAATAAAATGTAGTTCTGTATTCACTGTATACCTTGACAAATTCAAATTCTCAAATTCACTGGCTTACCTTGACTCAACTGAACTGATCTAAACAATAACAAACCGAATTTCCATAATACTATCCCATACAACAAACTTACTGGCCAACTGTACCTGCGTCAGTCCGTTTTCTTTAGTCCAAGTCAAAATATTTTATAAATATTTGTACTAAGAAATTACTTCAATAATAAATTAATATGGAAATAATCAACAAGGTAAGACGACCGAAAAATCTCTGTCTCTGTTTTCAACAACACGTGTTTATAAAATTATTACATCTCTTATCTGGCCAGGTAAAATTCAATCAAAAGTCAATAATTTTACACTAACTATAGTATCCTGTTGATCCAACGGAAAATCCTATGTGGATTTTCCGTTGGGCGCCATTTTGTAGCGGGTATTCCCGGCAGTATGATGGAAAACACTCAGTTGTAGTTTTAACGTTTATTATGATGACATCTTAGTTGATTAATACGGACAATAATGGAAATAATGAATGGAAATATTGGAAGTCCTGCAATGTACAAATTCCGTCATAAAAATATGTACAAAATATTATTTCAATTAAATATTACGATTATAAAAATATAACAAATTATCTGTCTTCTCTTTTACAATTAATTATCATCATTTACTATGATAACACATAAATATACTTTACACATGATATAAGGGAAATAACTCTATTAACACTATTACACTTGACAAACTTGTGAAGAGTTATCTTTCTTTGATATTTCTTTACAAATCATAAAAATATATATACAGTTAGACATACCAATCTATGGAACTGAACTTTCTCCTATTCAAGTATACATTTCTTTATTTTATGATGTTACCTATGTACAATAAATGTAATAATAAGGACTTGCTCTATACAAATACCTTTCTCAAAATAAATAACTATTTAAATTATCTTGATTATCATAATCTTCACATCAAACTTTTTTTCAGGTTTATATACAAATTGATCTCTTGCAAAACTTCATCAGATTTATCAATATCTGAATAAATAGACAGATAACTCCTAATGTAACAATTAAAAGTAAGATATCTTGTTTTCCACATTTTTAACATAATATAATAGAAAACATATTTGTAGCATAAAACAAGTAAAAACTTACATTACAGGAATTGTCTTTAGGTCTAAGGTCTTAGGAAATAACTAATTTCAACAGCAAAAACAAACTAGGTCTTCTCCATTAGAAGTCAGAATTTCAGAGCTTAAACTGAATAAAACTCACTACACCACAAAGACCAAAACACTAACCAATGAAAACTAAGTATTTCAAAAACTGACCAATAGATATGTATGTGGTCATGTAAAAGTGTATGTACAGGTGTGGATCCAAAGGGGTGTATAGCTATAGCACTAAATACCCAAGTTAGTAAAGAAAGAAAAGAATAAACTTTAACGGAAAACTATCATTTATAACTTATTTAACAGTTTATTTAGTCTATATTTAATTTATTTAATTTATATTTAATATTTATTTTATATCATTAAAAATCACTTAACTTTTATTATTTTAAATAAAAGTACCTCTACTACACATATACCTGTAACTGAACTTATATTTACTAACATGATTTTGTATAATCACATCAGAGCGGAGGTATTACCCGGTACTTAACTAGTGAGCATTGGCTCACAGACTTCTCGTTAAGTTTGTGTATCATTATGCAATTGTAAGGACAGTTAATACTGCCAAATGTAGATTAATATTGTTTTGTGTCTTTTATATCACCCTTTGTAATTGTGCCTCTTTATCATTTAATCCCCAGGGACAGGAACAATTGTGGCTGCAGTAAAGGTCCCAGCAAGGAGGGAGCCCCTAGTGATGGGGAAACCTGAGATAAACATGTTTAAATGTCTACAACAGACACACAACCTAGACCCCTCCAGGTGTATAATGGTGGGAGATAGGTAGGTACATGATGAAGTATTTTCTAATGGGTTACAAGTAATATGTGATTCACTGTGTATGTACTTCTGACAAAACTTTCAAAGTCATTTTGATGAAATTTTAGAAAAAATTAAATGCATGTATATGTTATGTAAGTGATAATTGTATTTAAATCAAAGTTTTCCATTTCTTAGAGTAATTATGTTCCCCAAACGGAGTTTGGGAACATATTGTTTTTACTCGGTTTCTTATTATTATTATTAGGGTCTTCCGTCTCCAGCGGAAGACCCTTCTATTATTCTATTGTTTCTTTTTCACTTTTATTAGGGTCTTCCGTCTTCAGCTGAAGACCCTTCTATTATTCTTTGGTTTCTTTTTCACTTTTATTAGCTCACCTGAGCCGAAGGCTCAAGTGAGCTTTTCTGATCACATTTTGTCCGTCGTCCGTCCGTCTGTCCGTCCGTCTGTCCGTCCGTCTGTCCGTCTGTCTGTCTGTCCGTCTGTAAACTTTTCACATTTTCGACTTCTTCTCAAGAACCACTGGGCCAATTTTGACCAAACTTGATACAAAGCATCCTTGGGTAAAGGGGAATTTAAATTGTTAAAATGAAGGGACATATCCCCTCGCAAGGGGAGATAATCAAGAAAAGACAAAAATAGGGTGGGGTCATTAAAAAATCTTCTTCTCAAGAACCACTGGGCCAGTAAAGCTGAAACTTATGTGGAAGCATCCTGGGGTAGTGTAGATGCTAAATTGTTCAAATCATGACCCCAGGGGGAAGGGCGGGGCCACAATGGGGAATCAAAGTTTTACATAGAAATACAGGTGAATCTCGATCTCTCGAAGTTCAAGGGACCGTAAGAAAAGTTCGAGAGATCGAGGGGTTCGAGAGATAGAAAGTAAAAAAAATCTGGAATTTTCAGTTCCGATCACCGAAGTTCTACTTTTATAGATACCGGAAGTATATGTAAATAAAGTCATTGCACGTTTTCAATTGTATTTGACAGGTAATTTACGTGATATCAACAACGATGATTGTATTTCAAATAAATAAAACAAATTTTTAAAGTTTCAGTATTTATTTGTTCTTATTTCATGATTACATGAAACCCAAATAGCAGTTGTCGGTTTGGCTATTCCGCGGCTTGATCGGGACCTTCACCAGTGTTCATCAGATTTTTCTTAATCGGTATTGTCCTTGAGAAAGGAATTTTCTTGTGCAATATTTGCTATGCTGGAATTATTTAGACTCTATTTAATCATAATAAAAGTTTATAGTCTTTCGGAACTTACTGAAACGAACATCTATAAATTAAATTTCTAAAAATTATCGTCTCAGTTTCACTTCGAAAAAAAGTAGTGAATTTGTTTATAATGTACCTGTAATTAACCAATTAATTATATCAAAACACGGACGACCCACAGGTGTAGTGTCGTCTATGTAAACACCCAATTAACACCTCCATGCCAGCCCAAGGCGTTCATTGTTTCCAGGTAAGTCCAGACTGCATCAATTTTACGCTTGATTGGCGTGTATAAACGCGCAATCAAAACTTCGAGAGATAGAGAGTAAAATTCAATGAAGTATGTGTAACGGGACCAAAATTTTGGTTCGAGAGATAGAGAACTTCGAGAGATAGAAGTTCGAGAGATCAGGAGTAAATTTGCTTAATTATATAGAGGAAAAAACCGGGACCGGAGGTTTACTTCGAGAGATCGAGAACTTCGAGAGATCGGAGTTCGAGCCATCGAGAGTCACCTGTATATAGGAAAAATCTTTGAAAATCTTCTTCTCAAGAACCACTGGGCCAGAAAAGCTAAAACTTATATGGAAGCATCCTGGTACAGTGTAGATTCCAAATTGTTCAAATCATGACCCTGAGGGAAGGGCGGGGCCACAATGGGGAATCAAAGTTTAACATAGAAATATATAGGAAAAATCTTTGAAAATCTTCTTCTCAAGAACCACTGGGCCAGAAAAGCTGAAACTTATGTGGAAGCATCCTGGTACAGTGTAGATTCTAAATTGTTCAAATCATGACCCCCGGGGGAAGGGCAGGGCCACAATGGGGAATCACAGTTTTACATAGAAATATATAGGAAAAAATCTTTGAAAATCTTCTTCTCAAGAACCACTGGGCCAGAAAAGCTGAAACTTATGTGGAAGCATCCTGGTATAATGTAGATTCTAAATTGTTCAATTAATGACCCCCGGGGGATGGGTGGGGCCACAATGGGGAATCAAAGTTTTATATAGAAATATATAGGAAAAATCTTTGAAAATTTTCTTCTTAAGAACCACTGGGCCAGAAAAAGTGAAGCTTATGTGGAAGCATTCTGGGGTAGTGTAAATTTTAAATTGTAGGAATCATGACCCCCGAGGGAAGGGCGGGGCCATTATAGGGAATCAAAGTTTTACATAGAAATATATAGGAAAAATCTTTGAAAATCTTCTTCTCGGGAACCACTGGGCCAAAAAGCTGAAAAATATGTGCCCATGGAAGGATCATGTGGTAGTGTAGATTTCAAAATGTCTAAATTATGATCAGTGGGGTAGGATGGGGATGCATTATGTATAACAAGGGTGAAATCTGCTAAAGAACAGAATGGTCAAAGCTTCTCAGGTGAGCGATGTGGCCCATGGGCCTCTTGTTATTAGGGTCTTCCGTCTTCAGTGGAAGACCCTTCTATTATTCTTTTGTTTCTTTTTCAATTTTCTTATTAGTTATTAAGGTCTTCCGTCTTCAGCGGAAGACCTTCTTGTTATTCTTAGGTTTCTTTTTCACTTTTATTAAGGTCTTCCGTTTCCAACGGAAGACCTTATTGTTTTCGTTCGGTTTCTTTTTCCCTATTATTATTATTAAGGTCTTCCGTTTCCAACGGAAGACCTTATTGTTTTCGTTCGGTTTCTTTTTCCCTATTATTATTATTATTATTATTTTTCTTCCAACCGATTTTGTGCAAGCGATTTCTCAGAGATGGCTCGTCCGATTTATACCAAACTTTCAGATCTGAAAGATATTCAATTGATCTTGATAGGTTTTTTTTCTTTTTGATGATCTCACTTCCGGTCGTGAGATATGGTCGATTTTCTGATTTTCAGAGGGTCGGCTTGTCCAGGAAACTCCTCCGAAACGACTAAAGATATCAACTTAAGATTTTCAGTGAAAGTAAAGGAAGGTTTGGTGAGTTGTAATTGGGTCTCCAAATCTTTCTAGCGCAAAAGGCGCCGGAGCTCGGTAGGGCCCGAAAAAATGTCTCAGAAATATCTCACAAAAATTGACACATTTTGTTTCATATCTTCATATGCGTTCATAATTTGTTAAAGCATATTGAAGAAAAAATGTGCAAAATTACAAGGCC